CCCGCCGTTAGCAGCCGAAGGGTTCCGTCTCACTCGGAGCTCCGCCGCTCGAACTCGCCTCGGCAAGCGAAGTCCCAACCAGGGCCAGCGTCCTCGGGCGCCGGGCACATCGACACGAGGAGATGCAGGTGAGAACGGAGAGCACTGCGCTGCGGAGATGGAGATGAACCAAAGACCCTTTCGTAACAGCTTGGCACAGGAATAGTTTCAGCTTCCAAAGAACACATCTACAAGGTTCTGAGGAAAAAATGGGGATGCATGAGCTGATGTCCAATAGCCCCATCATGTGGTTAAACAACCACCACAACAACAACATCCTGCTGCACCCGTAAACATGTACACCAACGATGGCGAAAAAACGAACTACGATGTGGTCGGTGTCCATCCGTGTCAATGGCCAAGTCACTTCGACAGATGGACGCCATCTTGCTATGGCCCGGTCGGCGCGGTGCCGGGAAAATTGGATCGAAAGGCCCAAGGTCAAGAGGGACAATGGTCAGGGTGGAGTACTGAAATGCATGCCATTGCCACATGCAACGGTTGATAGCAGTTGGATGAGAATGTGTTTCTGGTTATGATTCAAGTGGGATTAGGATGGATGTGTAGCTGGTGAGAGGGCTGGAACAAATGGTGTTTGAAGTTCTTCCGGTTTAGCTGGTCGCTTGTTTCCAGCTGGGCGATGCTGACGGTGTTTTCCGCCTGTCTGGCTGATAGCTCGTGGCCAAAGGGAAAGAACACGGTGTTCTTGTTTGACTCAGGTGTAAAGTCGGTTCGTCCCTCTCAGTTGGACTTCGGTGAAGACAGGACTTGGCGCGCAATGGTATGGTTATGAGAAAGGGAGAACATCCATGACATGTCCGCACAATTCGGCATTTCAAGCAACCCTTGGGGCAGGACCTGGAGCCTAGAGCCACAGGTCATGGCAGAGTTCTCGGCAGGTCATGCGGTCCTCGAGGCGACCGTGTCGACTGGGGAGCCAGACTCTTGCATGAAGACTGGGCATCCAGCCCGTCCCATGAAGCGTGAAGCGTTCCGTCCCATGCAGGCCTCACTGTGCCTCTGAAAGCGTTGGAAACCACCTCCCCAGTGGGCCAAACGGTGTTCGGTTCCGTTATGCTTGGGTCGGTGGGCAGGTTCACGCGCACGGCCCGGCCCGGTGTTACGTCCGCAGCAGCAGGTTCTTCAAGGTTCCAGTGCTTTGCCAAGAATCTGTCGCAAAACTCCTAAATTACATATGTGCCACAAAGGTGAGCAAGAAAAGGTTCGAGCATCGTTTTAAAGAACTTATCTGAACACAACTATGATACACATAGCAGACATGAACACAAAGGCTGACGGAACATTATATACAGTGGGCTTCTCATGTTCCAAGTCTCAGAACATCCAGCCAACTGTCGACTCTTCTGCCCGCGCTTCAGCTAGCAGCTAGCAGCCATCTTCTTTGGGCGCAGCACGCGCTGAGGAGCGCCTCACGGCCGTGGAAAGGAACGCCGAGGCATTTGGGAGCTGTGTTCTGTTTTCGGACGAGCAAGTCGGATCATTTGGAGATGGTTTGGGAAGGTCTCTTGACATTTTGACAATGAGAATTTTGGCAAAACAATGTCACCACCCCTGTTTTTCAGGGTCTCAAGGACCAGGGTAGGGTCAAAGAGACGGGCTCCCTCTGGAAATAGCCAAACTACAGGTCTCCAAAGCGAACTGGAGGTGCACTTCTCCACGAACGGTCGTTATGAACTGGCAATCCAACATACAGTCAAGATACTCCAAGCCCAGGGGGTTTTTTGCGACAGTAATTTCAGAACTGTGGCAGAAAACCCTGCTTTCCAGCAGCACCGTCGCAGAAAACACCCCTTGCAGGTAGCACCGTCGCAGAAAACCCCCTTAACTGTGCAACTGCCGCAAACCTTCAGACTGTCATGTAGTAATGTATGTAACAAGTACTTAGACAATATGAGACAAAGCATATCAAACTGTAGGGTTCCTGTTGGAATCTAGTGTTGTTTGGAGGGTATCAGTTGGACGAACCAAGCTTTTGGGACAGTCACAGTGGTCCTGATGCAACCATGAAGATCCTGTCTGTCTAACTGCAATGCCTTTGCAAAACAGTCACCCTGCCAAAAAACTGAACAAACATGAACAAACAATATCAGAATCGAATCATCTGAGTGCCAATACAGGTCTACGAAAATAATCTGATATGCTGATATCCTCCAAAGATCTCCAAATTGAAATCTAGGTCTAGGTCTTCCGTCGTTAACCCGACCACCCGTGCGAAATCCCGCGGTGTTCGTTTCCCGGACTTTGACACTTTGGGAAGTAGATGCGGAAGGCCCTGCAACTGGTGACGGTCAAGCCCGACATGTGACGATATATACCGCGCAGCCGAGGGTGCTGAAAATTCCAAGTTTCACCTCCAAACCAAGGAACTTCTGAGCTTGGTCGACTCATTTTGTTTTGGTCTGACCCTACGACACGCTGGTCTGCGTCGGCCCTGCAACAGGGCCCAGCCCACATGGCTGCCCACCAAGTGACACACGAGAAAAGTTTGGGCTAGTTCAACGACCATCAGGAGCGCCTCCAGTCTTGAAACTCCTCCATGGCATCAAAGACCAGAAGGTACCACCTAGTCAGAGAGTTCTCAAAGACTGCCTGATGAACCTGGTTCGACTGGCAAACATGCGTTGCGCATGGCCAACAAATCATGATGGTCCAAAATGAAGTTTGGTAGGGAGAGCAGAGGATCTTCGATAGAAGGAACATTCAAGTATATTGAAGTGAAGATCAAGCAAAAAACAAGAATCTCACGTCTACTACAGGTCTAAACTGGTGAGGCACTCCATATTATTAAGGGTCTCCTTTATTTGTTGCATAACCAAAAACTGAGATACTGTCAGTGTTTTTTTTCACCTCCCCAATGTTCGCAGATGCAGCTAAGTTTTCTGTCTTCTGTTTAGCAGTCGTTTGTGCAGTGTAAGTCTGGCAAAGAAGAATAACCTCATGGATTCCCAACAGGTGAAAGGCTTCATCGCTCCAAAGAACCCTTCAGGGCGAGGGTGGTGACCTCATGCCCCGGACGAGCATGATCTCAAAAGGAATTCCAGGACACACTGTACCCCCTTCAACAAACCATGGAGGTGGACCATCCCTTTTCTTTCCATGCTACCTATTTTCTTTTTAGGGAGGCTGCTAGACGCAATCGAGTCCTTCCAATTTCCTTATTGTTTTTTCGGCCGGGCTTTGGGGGCGGATCCTCTCGCTCTTCTCCTCCGGTGCCGGGGTCTCCCGACGAAGTCGGCTTCCTTGTCGAAGTCCTGGCGAGTCCGAAGTTCGGACTGGACTCTACCTGGATCACGCCGACCTGGATGTTTGGCGTCTCGGATTCCACCTTCGCGCACCACGAACGAAGGACCGAGAGGGAGCAGTAAGCTATAGTCGTCCCCCATTACATTGGTAGTGGGCCGTGGGGATCTACTTTTCTATCTATTTGGGGATCTAAAAAAATCACTATATAAAACAAAAATCTCACTTAAGAAGATTTTGGGGGGTGCCTTCCCAAAAACAACCTCATGATTTCCAAGGCCCCAGAGAGACCAGGGCCCCACCGGTCCCTCGCCCCGCCCGGCACCGAACAAACCTCTTGGCAGTTCTTGGCTTGGCCACTCTTTTAGGGGCTCATAGGGGGCCCCAAGTTGGGGCCCCATTGGATTCCACTTCCATGAACTTTCGGGGGTGCAGATGGTGGGGATTGCTTGGATGCTGCGCCAGACCGGTTGCCGCTCGGGGCGGTTTTGGGGGGATGTTCCCCGACGAGGAGGATTCCCAACCCACCACCCACGGGTGATTTATATCCCCACAGGGCCATCTTCGAACCCCACGGGGGGCCGATCCGCAACAGCGCGCCTCTATCCACGAGAGGACCTGGAGGATCGCGGCTGGGCTGAGGACTTACAGTCTCAATATTCTGAACATGTGCACAATGCGCACGGTCCCGCCATTCAACATGGAATCAGGATCTCAGGAGTCAACGGAAAACATGGAAGTGCGTCGTGGTGGGCCACACTGGGGAA